AAACAATGCTTTTATTTTAATTTGTAAACACAATATATTTTTCGCCTATTAGAAGAATTATGGTGTGTGACTTTTGAGAATCAGAATTTACCATTCACTATATACCAGAATTGCTTATCCTCAACATGATGTAGATACCAGGATATGGTGGTCCCATTTTTCATCTGGGGTGTGCAGACAAGGATGAATCAGCTGTAGCATTCACTTTGCAATACCAGTTTACACTTTCTTTCTTCTATTTACTATGTGCATCCCAAAGATAGATTGAGATGTGAATAACAGATACCAACAATAGCTTGTACTCTTACCTTCTCTGCAGAGGGCTAATTTTGATGTATAGACTTCTGTTCGGTAGTATAACTTGCAAAGTAAAAACTTCTGTTTATGTTAGAAGAGGTCCTTTGAAGAACTGGACAAGGATCATCCTCATCTGTGTCAGCTTTTAAATTCATCAATCTTGGGGGCTCTTTCATCTTCCTTTGTGGAGCATTCCGTCCTGAATATTCCTCATAAAGGAAGAAAAGGTGTCCTGCTTTCAGTGTGACTCTGCATTGAGTTGCTTGTTGTAATTCTTACAGAGGCAGTCACTTCAGATTTGTTTGTTACACTTTAACTAATTAATAACTGTAAGTTTTGTGTGTTGGGTACAGTAATAGCAACACTACAGTGTTTTGATACTGTCCTGAAAGCTTGCAATAAGACAAGTATGTATTTGTAATAAATTGGATTTGATTCTCAGATTCCTGAAATGATGGCATTCCTGATATCCAGTAAAAACCTAGCTTGCTTTCAATGTGTGAAACATATTTGTGGAGTAGTTTCTTAATTGTCTAAAATTCTCCTTGGATTCTGGAGGGAGTATCTTCACGATATTATACTACACACAGACTAGATTTAAAGCTTAAAGGGAAGCCTTAATTACTTTTAAGCTCCCACATGACTTTATTGAAGGATTAGAGGTCTGAGTGCTCCTGTATGTTTTTGATAACTATTATTTACATCAGCATGGTGCTCACACAGATCCACAGGCACAGCTTAGAAGTCCCAGATAAGAAGTTGCCAAGATCTCCTCCTGCAGCATGTGCCCTCTTTGATACCCAGTAATCTTTCACCAGCTTTTTTACATGTGCATCTTTTGCACATTTCTTCCCTCAAACTATTAACTCTCCCCCGCTAACACTTTAATTTTCATTTTCCCTCTTCCTTCATTTTTCTCTTTTAAAATATATTTTTTCCCTGTCCCCCCTTTCCCATGCCCCCATTGTATTCTCACCCCAGGAGGGAGAATGAAGTTGCCTCCCCACCTGATTCCTTTCTGTCATGTTTTTTTAAATCCTCACTGGAACCAGTAAAAAGCATGGTCAGCTGACAAGTGAAGCAAGTAAGAGTCAGCCTGGAGAGGAAGCAAACGCTAGTGTTGGTAACAGTATGGAAGCTTTTGCTTTTTGTTGGCACACGTTTTAAATAAACTGCTGTTCACAGTGGCCAGGCTTTCATATCCCCCTGCTGAGTCTCAGACAGGGAATCCATCCCTTCTTTCCCCAGAACTGGGCAGATTCTAAACCACAAATGATCTTTGGGTGTCTGCATTTCCAGATGCCTCATATGAGACAGCTTAAGAAGGAACTGATCTTCAGAAGCTAGTGCTCAGGTCATTTAACCTCTGGCCCTGGCACACTGGTTGTAGTAGAGCACGCCAAATTTGAATTGTAACACATCACTGATCACTTTTGCATGTGAAAAAAAGCCTGCAACTTGCTAGCAGTTACTTTAGATACAAATAAACAGGAAAGGATCCGAATTATACTTGTGTCTCCTTGTAGGTTGTTTACCTTTTGCCCAAGCTGAGATAGTCACATGCAAACCTTTCTAGCCCTTTTTTTAATAACTTTATTCTTCACATTCAAAACAAAATTAGCTGTACATGTAATGCAGATTTTTACATGTAAATTTAGTCGTATCCCTGTGTACTTGTTTTCTGCTGGAGCTGACCTCTTTCTCTCAAGCTCTTCTTGGGAGTCAGCCTTCTGCATAGAGCGCATCTGAACTTCATCCCAGCAATTTCCAGGAACAACTTGACCATTTCCTAACTCAGTATGACCATACCACAGGTTTCAATAGTTATATATATTAAAACTCCTACAACTCCTTCAAATAGTTTTGTAGTACCTCTGGATTTTCTGTATCCTTGTGATTTTATTCAAGATCTCACACTTAGGGCAGTGGGAAACCAAGACTGTTCACACAAGCCTTGCTTTTTATTGCTCTGTGGTAGAACAACAGCTATTTCTAGGTTTGCTGAGAACATACACAAAAGAAGCCAGCAAGATTTTATGACACTTTTGTAGTACTGTGAAATAAATAAGAGAAAGTGTTGGGTTTTTTTTGTGTGATTTTTGAGTGCCACTGTAATACAATATTCAGTTAAAACCCAAGCATTTAATTCTCCACCATGTGGATCAATTAGTAATTGAATACTACAGATGCAAATATGCAGTGATGACTCAGCTGTGGAATTTGAGATAAATGTCAGTAACAGTTTGTAATGTATCATGTGGGCTTAGCTCTGCCTAATTCCATTAGGAACAATAGAGTGGAAAGCCTTGTCCTAAATTCTTAAAAAAAAAAAAAATTATATATATATACAATCCCCAACTTTGGCTATTTTTGTATAGTCATCTCAAAGCCATTTGTGGAAACATCATGTATTCATTTTGTTTGAAAAGAGAAATCCAACATAGTTACAAAAGCTATGTGTATTTTGTCAGATAACAGGAATTATACCATGTGACTTACTGCATCTAAACTCTCAAAGGGTCCTGCAAGAGCTGACTAAGGGCTGGTAACAACTAGTGCTGATCCTGACTTATGCCACATTGCCTCTTGGCGCTGAGCTTTTTAGTGCACCAGCTTTTCAGCTCTCCAGGGAATCTTAGCATCCCCAGTCTGAAGTAAGAGAGGATCACTTCAATCCTAAACACCACAATTCAAACCCCAAAACAAAAATATGAAGGGCAAATGTTTGCTTTTTGTTCACTTCATGAATATTGCATACATGGTATAAAAAACCACCACAAATGCTTGTAATACCAGTCCCTAATTCTTAGCTCCCTGCTGGAGAATACCAGGAAGGGGAGGTTTTGGGGTTATTTTTTAAAAGAATCTGGCAATACAGTAGCGCACTTTGCAGATCTTCCTTGCCTCCAAATAAAGAAGCCTAAATAAAAATTCTCACCTTACCTCTCACTAAAAAAAAAAAAAAAAAGGCAAGCGAAGGAACAAATACCTTTCCTTAACATTTACTGCTCAGTTTCACAACCAGTTTATATAGAGAGCGCTTCATCCTGAGACCACATGAATGAGGCTCACAATCAGAGATTTAATGGGAAATACAATTGACTAGCTGCTGTGAAAATGAGAAAACTATTTCGTTTGTACAATGAACAAAGCCAAAGTTGTTCTACCAGTTGCAAAGGCAATGAAGCATTTGCAGTTCAAATTTATATCCACAGAATCCTTTGATTTGTGGAACCGTTTGCATGTGTTACAAAGCAACAGGAATTGCCAGATGTTCCACACTTTTGAAATCTAGTCCTTATTTAGTAGTCATTGAACCATGAATTCAGAAATCTGGGGTTTATGCTACTTCTAAAAGCCAAAAAAGCTTTGTGGGTTCTGGTTATGAACTTTTTTTTTTTTTTTTTTAAAAGTTTTCAGGTGTATACCTACACCCTTTTGCTTTCTGCTTTACAGCTTTGCTGCTTTTGAGGCAATTTCTTAACTGCGTGAGTCAAGTATCTAGCATTGATTTTGTTTATTTTAATATCATGATCTAGTTTTATCCTTATTTACTGTGATGTCTTTCAAAAATATTAATTTATTAAAAGGTAATAATAATGAAAAATGTAATTTAAAAAATTTACCTAAGTATTACATTAACACTGTTTTTCATCCAATGAGCTAAGATTTCTTTAACCACAGTAGGAGCTGCTGGTACCACTGTGCAGCTGCTGGCATGAATTTAGTTACCGTTTGTTGCACTACCTTCCTGAGACCCACTGAAGTGGCAGTTCAGAGGAGACTGTTCAAAACATGACTCTTAAAAGTAACTTACCTGAACAGGTTATTCTTCTATTCTGATTACATTACTCTGCTGTGCTGTAAGAAAAAACTTAGTGAAAAGTAGAACTGAACAGTAAGATAGATATGACTAACAAACAAGGAAATGTAAGTATATAGGCACCAGTGATCTTGGCCAGTTGAGACAGGTAAACTGATGGTATGTGAGCTACCTCATTTGAATGTGTTGCTGAGAAAATTGTGAAATTTACCTGCACTGGGCTATTTTGAAACATATATAACCTACGGCATCAAGAAAATATATACAATCAGGATGGGATATGCAGAATACTGAAAAGCAAGTTTGACTAGAGTATTCAAACTTCATTTGCTTTTGCATTCTTAGCAATCTGGGAAAAATTCTGCTATGAAAAAAGAGTGCAATTAGGTCAGTTCAGTTGATGGTACAGAAAATCTGGAATAAAACTGCAATGCTGCAGAACTTATTAGCAGTAATTCAAACTGCTATTTTCAAATTAAAGGCTGAAGTGGACGTAACTTTGCTTCAATCATTTCATAGTATTTTTTTCTATAATCTCAATGCTAGTCTACCTGATAGTGTGGTGATTTATTATGACTTTTGCATCTGTAAATTACATACATTTTAAAGAAACGTAAACCAAAGGACACAACTACAATCACTCAGAAAGCTGTTTGTTTCAAGGTACAGGGTTCCAATTTCACTAAAAGGAAGGACTACTTTAATTCCATGTGTACTGAGACCTTGTCTCCAGCTACACTTAACAAATACACCCTAATAAATTTAAAGAACCAAGCATCAGTAAAAGATAATCTTACAATAGAGGCCAGTTTCTCTACTACTGAAATTTGCATTTTCCTAATTTGTTAATAAGAAAAAAAAAAAAAGTCCACATACAAAGTAAAATGAGTAAAATTAAGTCTAATCTGAGCAAACATTCTCCTTTTTATTCAGTTCCAGTTGTAGTGGTCTCTTGGAAGTAAATCATAATGTGATCTCTCTTCCTCTTCAGGTCCATAATCTAATGGCAGACCATAATTGTAATCAACTGTTACAACTGGTAATCTTTTGCTTTGTTCTATCTCTCTGGTAGTTTCACCTTGAAAAGGTTTTCTTTCATAGTCTATTGAACTATCTTCTTGGTGTACAGATGAAGATGGATGCATTGTTCGTGAAGAATATGGTGCAAATCTGTTTTTTCCTCTATTAAATTCATCTGAGGGATGCAATCTCCTATTGTCTTCAGGACAATTTGGTTGATTACTGTAAGAAGAACAAATATGAACAGTGAAATCCTCATAGATAACAGTTGATTTATTGTTGGTGGCCACCATTAGAAATGAAACTTGTGTACCCTTGAAAGAACAATTCAGACCCTCATTCTTGTTTTTAACCCCCTAAAATTAAAATCGTCTCTACTGGATGTTGCAAACTGGTTTATATTAATTTTTTAATTCTAGTGATTAAAATTAGAGCTCTTTATAGTAAGTAATTCTCCTAGAAGATGTTTTGTTTCAAGTGCTGCTTCTAATTAAAATTCCCTGTTTACTGAAGGTTTCTTCAACCTAGGGGCCACTTTTGTTCCCAAGCCCATGTTTTCATTTTTGTGAATAATATGTAATAATAGCCCTCTAGTACATAGTCCCAATGGGCAACAATATACTTTGGATTTATAGCTCCAAATATCTAAATTATTAATTCTTCTGTAATAGAAGAATCACTCTTCTACAAAACACATATGGAGGAATCTAAAAATGCATATATGATATATATACTTTTTGGTTTGGATTCTCTTTACTCTGAAGTACCTTACTTACTTTGTAAAATAAGCTGTGTTTAAAGCCAATTCAGAACAACCTTTGTAATTTTAAAATCTTTTCCCTCACTGAACCATAGATTAATTTAGACTGGAAAGGATCTCTAGAAGTACTTAGGGCCACCTCCTCAAAGTTGGTCTAATTAGATGAGTTTGTGCAGAGGCCATGTCCAGCTGAGTTCTGAGTATCTCAAAGGATGGAGATTTCACAGCTGCTCTGGGCAACCTGTTTCAGTGTCTGACCATCCCTCACTGTGTAACTCATTAGCTTGTTGTAGACAGCAGTTAAGTGTTAAACATAGCATGTGTATTTTGCTTTTCACTTACTGACAATAGCTTTTCATGTTTTGTAGCATGTTAGCTTGAACTGTGCTTGTCTTGTCAATGACTTAACATCAGGGATGCTTGAGCCATTTCATAATCACATTCGAACTCAGTATACATGGACCATAAATTAATCACATTATTTGCTGTCCTGGTTTCCACTGGGATAGAGCTAATTTTTTTTTCTTTCTTCTTAGTAGCTAGAATAGCGCTGTGTCTTGGATTCAGTATGGGATTTGATATGAGAAGAATGTTGACAACGTTCTGATGTTTTTAGTTGTTGCTAAGAAATCAAGGACTTTTCAACTTCTCATGTCCTGTCAGTATGCAGGTACACAAGAAGTTGGGGGGGAGCAGAGCCAGAACAACAGACCCAAATTATCCAGTGGAATATTCCATATTGTCTAGTGTCATGTTCAGTTTATAGATGAGGGTTGATTGGGAAGCTCACTGCATTTTCAGGATACTCTCTTCTCTGGGATTACTAGCCAGGAACAGGCTTGTGATCAGTCAGCAGGTGGTGAGCCATCACACTGTTCATTACTCATTTATATTTTCTGTTATTATTAAAATTTTATTTTATTTCAATTATTAAATTGTTTTTATCTCAACCTGCAAGCCTCCTTACCCTTACCCCTCCAACTCTCTCCCTCATTCCCTGGCTGCCAGCTGGGTTGAAACCAGACATTTGCTCAGTGTTCAGATTCAATGGTTTAAATTCCATTTAATAAAAATATTAACATCAATTTTTACACCGTGCGGTTAATTTGTATGTTTTTAGCTGGGAAACTGTTAGAATAACAGTATAAAGTTAAGTCAGAAAACTATATGAAATCTGATATTTACCTGTAACTTCTATTAAAGTCATCATTATCAGACCCATATTCTCTGTGAAATGAAGATGAGGAGAAATGAGGTTCTGGTACATTTTCATGGGAAGGAAATGATTGACTTCTGCAAATAACCAAAAGAATTCCACATTAAAAAGAGTACTAACGGTTGTAAGCTTTTTAAAAATATGTGTTTACCAAATGAAATAAAAGTATTTTTACTTTTATTTAAAAGTTATTTGAAATTGTAAAAAAAACTTTCTTAATTGTATTAATTTAACACCTCAAAATGGTATCCTTCATTGTAATGATATCCTCTGTTTCAGCTGTACAATGGAAGAGAATAAATCAAACTTTACTAGCCCAATAAATATCTGAAATATTAAAAATATTTTGTCAGAATCCAGTATGTTTACTAATAAGTGATACATTTATTTGGGAGAATATGATGCAAGTTCAGAAGCAAAGGGATTTCTAACAAATTATTAATTCATAGAATAAACAAACTGAAGTCAAACTTCATTGCAGCATTACTGTTTATCTCTATTTGGCTGAAGACATCAATAAAATTTCATATCCTCTTCTGTCTTGAGGACTGCTTTTTAAATGTAAGTTTCTATACAAATCAAAGAGGAACAAAGAGCTTTGCTTCAAGTTGACTCTAAAAGGGTAAAGGAAATGCATGAACTTTAAAGAAGCACAACCTTATAATTTAGAAAACATTGGCTTTCAAAGCTGCAACTATCCAGCTTACATCAAATCCGTAAGTCAAAATAAAAAGAATTAATTAACTGATCATTTATACATGATCTTAAGAGGGTAATTAATTGATTTAAAATAAATTTATTTAAAAAAAAATTGAAATTTAATTTAAAAGTGCTGAGATCTACACTTTTATTCTCTAAAGCTCAAGGATGCTTTACCTGTCTGAACACCATTCATGGGGCAAGTCACTGTGACCTGGATGTTCATCAAAAGGTCTTGGCCTTTGTCCATGCCCTTTATTAACATAACCAAAATCTTTGAACTGAGTCTGTTCCTGTAAGTCATTGTAAGGTTGATGGTCATGGAAAGGTCTGCGCCTTTGTCCAGGACCTTTATTATCATAATCTTTTAGTTGCATCTCTGTGTGTAAATCATTGCAAGGCTGGTGATCATTGAAAGGTCTCTGCCCACGACCCCTATTAACAAATTCAAAATCTCCCAATTGCATTTGTGGCTGTAAGTCATCATGTGCCTGATAGTCATGGAAAGATCTTAGTCTTTGGCTAGGACCTTTGTTGACACAATCTAACTCTTTCAATTGTATCTGAGTCTGAAATTCTTCATGAGATTGGTGGTTATGGAACAGCCTTTGTCTCTGGCCACGGCCCCTGCTACGAAAATCAAAATCCTTTGACTGCATGTCTTCCTGCAAATCATTATGAGATGGATGGTCAGGAAAAGATCTCTGCCTTTGTCCACGGCCTCTGTTAAATTCAATATCCCTCGATTGTGTCTCTGCCTGTAAATCATCATGAAACTGGTGTCCACGAAAAGGTCTCAACCTCTGTCCAGGTCCCTTGCTACTGAAGTCTAGGTCCTTCAGCTGCATGTCTTCTTGATAATGATCATAAAACTGGTGATCAGTAAAGGGTCTTCGCCTCTGTTCTGGTCCCCTGTTGTAGTCCCAGTTTCTCATCTGCATTGGTGCTCTTAAATCATCCTGAGTCTGATGGTCATGAAATGGTCTTCGTCTTTGTCCAGGTCCCTTATTAATGAAATCAAAATCTCTTAACTGTATCTGTCCTTGCAAATCGTTGTGAGAGTGGTCATCATAAATTCGTAGTCTTTTCCCAGACCTGTAAAGAAGTTTTTGTGTTAAATAGAACATGATACTTGTAAGTGCTAGAAGTCATTAATGCAAACAAGTTTTTTTAACCAAGAATTGATAGGAAAGACACTGCAAATATATAGGTATCAAAGCTAGTAAGAATCCAAACTTAAGATTATAAAACTTTCAATGTCATAATAGAAGCTGTGACAAAAATTCAATTGTAATTCTGTAGCACTTGTTGAACAGGTAAAACCAGTGATTCCAAATAAATTAAAAATAGTTGCAGATTACTGTAGAATAATAAAGAAGGATGGGCAAAGTAAAACTCTAAATTATTCCAAGTGAACTAATTACTTACACACATTCCCTTTCATTGTTTTGTCAAATTCTGTAAATATATTTTGCATGAGTAGGCTGTATTCCTAAAATCTCTTAAATTAGACTATCTACAGCCTTTTCAGTAAGAAACAAATATCTTTCCCATTGTGTGGGGTTTTTTGGCTTTTAATTCCATGTTTCAGCCTATTACCCCTGAAAATCTTCATTTGGGAACCGCTCTACAGGTCCTTCCATTGCATGTGGTGGGGGAATAATATCTTCGTCTGCATCCCATACATCCATTCCAAGGTTACTAAGAAGAATAAAAACATCTCACATAAGCTTCCTTTTTTAAAATGTACTATTGAGAGAGAGAAAAACCACACAAAGTTCTTCAGCTTAAAATGACAGAAATTTTTGTATGTTAAGTTAAATGTACAGACATTTGTAACTCCCAAATAAATTTACAAGATTAAAATTTGCTAAAAGAGCTGCAGGGAAAGCAAAGAGAATAGTTAAAGTTCATAAACTTGGAACATCCTAAATGATCTGAGACAAGTACCTATTAAAAAATCTGACATGGGGCTAATTTAATCATGCACAGACCATAAAGCAATGATAGCAGTAAAGCAAAGGGCGTTCAATTAAACTAAAAAGACACAAATTAGTCAGGTATTAATTTTAAAATCAATTTACTGATGCAAGCTATCATTGCTACAAATAACTTAGGAAGATGTAAAGGTGAGCTATTCTTAGGTGAATATGTTAAGCATAAAATTCTTACACACCAGGGATACAACCACTATGAACAGAGGAATTGAGAACAATCTTCCGGTTTCACATACTTTTTTATTCCTATAACTGTTCTACTGTTTTGTTTTGTTTTAAAAATATCTGGTTCTACCATGCCAACAACAGCAGGCAGATCAGAAAGCTTATAAAGATATCTTTGCAGTGGCTCCTTTCAGCTTATAATGAGAGTATACAGACTCAATACAGTTGTCACAATATGATAAAACCACACCAGTGTCCAATAGTAGTTGTCAGATTAAAAAAAATCTTTTGGACCATATAAAATCAAAAGATGAATGAAGTACACCACACTTCATATTAGTCATATCAAAAGTCTTACAATATATGTGTAGTTGCACATTAAAGGTTTAAGAGGAGGTTAAATTTGGTTTATGACTGAAAGTGAACTTTTAAAAATATCAGCAGACATATTGGAAAATCTTAAGCATATAACTAAAAGCTTTTGTTTACCTTCTCATTGGTTGTGTTCTGAGATCTGTGAGATACACAAGACCATCCATGCGATGACCTCTAGCATCACCAAATGCTAAAGAAAAAAAGACACAAGGCTAATGAAATGTGTTCAAACTGAGCCACACATGTGAAAGGCAAGTTTCTGTTCACCATGAGATGCTGAATTTTAAACAATTCTAACTTGATATTAAATATTTCAGCAAGCTGGTATCATTACAGCATTTTTTTTTAAAAAAACAAAAGAAACTACTAGTGGTAGCAACCTATGATTGAAAACCCTTCAAAGCAAAAGGAAGAAAAGATTTTAAGCAGCTGAAACACACTCCTACTATGCTGTCAATTTGCCAATGCTCAAGTCTTGCCCGGAATAGAATCAACAGTCAGACAAAATCTTCTGTGGAAGCCAGCACATGAAATAACTCTAAAAATACTAAAATAGAACTGTAATATTTGGGAATACAGTTGTAGTAACTGTGAATTACAACCCAAAATGTGCTTTAGTTCAAACTGTATAAATACCTTGGATTGCTGCCTCTGGATCCCAGCCTTCAACATCTATAAGATACCTGAAAAAAAAAACCCCACAATTATATTACTGTCCTAAAGGGATTACAGATTAATATAAGGAAACCATCTTTTGTGAACAATGATTTTGGTTTTTATACAACCCTTACCTACATATAAGGTAGCCAGTTCTATTAATTCCATTAGTACAGTGAACGCCAATGAGTTTCTCTATCAAAAAGGAAAACACGGACTTTAATAGTTCAGAAAGTGAAATGACTAAAAAATTAGTACAAGACAAAACAAAACAAAAAAGCTGTACTTTTCCAACAAAGTAACTACAAATAATGCTTGCTATTTACAAAATTATACTGTTGTGCCTGTAAAAGAACAAACACATCCAGACTTTTTCCTCTTCATGCTGAATCTCTAGCAGCAGTTAGTTCACTACTTCCAAACCTGTGAAGACTGAGATTAACTCTGCAGAATGTAGGAAAAAAACAAAGAGCAGTGATGACAGGTAAAGCAGCTGGCCTCAGCCAGAACTGCAATAACAGGAGAAAAAGAATAAAATATGGTTTTGAAAGCAAATCTAATCAAGGAAATGTAAAATTGAGGAACTTAATTTACAGATTCTTGTAAAAGTTACAAGAAGGAGAAAATACCCATGTGGCCCTAGTGTCTAAGAATATAAAATACATGAAGAAAAGAAGCACCAATAATCTCTAAAGAAATCTTATGTTTTTTTAAAAGGTTCTACTAATCAGCTAAAGGCTAAAAAGAATAACTTACTATTATTAGGGTGTTTCAAATGAGGTATTTCCAACAGAAATAGGGAAACACTAATACGGTCATACAAGGCATCAATAAAGCATCATCCAGACTATGTCAAACAATTCTACTTACCCATATTTAATGAAAAAAAGTATCAAATTGAAATATATACAGAAAGGGCTACTATAATGGTCACAAAATAAGTTTATGAGAAGGGACCTAGGAAGCTTGTCTTAGTCTGTAAAACCAAATGTGAGAAACTGAATATAATAATGGAGATGGAGAAAAACAATACTGAAGGGCAAAGTTGGCATAAGAATAAATGTATATTAACTGATTGAGAGTTTTAGGCTAGATTTTAGAAGAAAAACTTCAATCATCAGAACAACAAAGTTGTGTCAGAGAAAGTACTGACAGATGGTCTTTGAAATGGGACTTGATACATTTTTGAATGAGATAAAATGTAACTATTCGCCACAGAACAGGACAGTCACATTGCCATGTAAGTTAATCATAAATTAGTGTCCTAACAATTCAGACACCAAAAAAACCCAACTTCTCAAAAATTATTTTTAAGAAGAATCCTGAGAAATGTTAAGGGTATTCTAAAACAGGTAAAATGTAACTATTCGCCACAGAACAGGACAGTCACATTGCCATGTAAGTTAATCATAAATTAGTGTCCTAACAATTCAGACACCAAAAAAACCCAACTTCTCAAAAATTATTTTTAAGAAGAATCCTGAGAAATGTTAAGGGTATTCTAAAACAGAGAGCAGGTTACAATGAATAAGTTAACATAAAAATGAAAGTTATCCCAACTCTGAAGTTACATAAGCCCTGCCAAAATGTTCTTCCTAGCTGGATCTGCAGGTCTTCATCCAGTAACAAATCAGTAATCAATTCTGAGAATCAGAAATAATTAGATTCAAATACAGACTATTCTTTGTGCCATGAAAAATCATTAGATCAAAACCAGAAGAAAACTAATAACCTCCAAGTAATTTCCCTAAGCCAACAAAGAGCAAAGGAAGAACTTACACACTAATTTCCTGAGCAAGGACAAAACCTTAGTTCTTAAACCTTTTAATTTTCCCAGCACTTCTCATTCAGTCTCTCATACCTGAGATTTAGGTCAGAGCTCTTTCAGAAAACAGAGTTGACCATCCATAGCAAAACCACGGTTATGCTCTGCAGCAAAAATGGTATGCGCTTGTGTAGTTAATATCTCTACTTTCTCAGAGAAAATGCTAAAGTAACCACAGCAAATAGCATGAAAAAGCTTGAAAGAATGGTCCTCCAATATTGAATAGACAAACAGTTAAAATCTGCCTACAATGAATGAATAGCAAAAAAAGTGAGTGGGTAAAAGCTGCAAACAGGCTGTGGCAAAATACATGCAAATTTATTTAATCAAAGTTCTTTATACCATCTCAGCAAGAACTGTACTATTGCATAAACACTAGAACAGCAGCAAAGCCACACTGTGGAAACACTGACACTGTGTCTGTAATATGATTTTTAAGAATTGTTAGGATATGAGGGTAATAATGGACTCATAAATCAAAAACCTGCTACATCAGACTAAACGGACTTATGTTGCTCACACATACCAGTGCCTAGTGCCATCAGAGAAACCCTGTGCTATTTAGAGCATCCATAAAGGGCTGGCAGCTAAAACACTAAGCTGATGGTAGACAATTTGGGTCAGACAGATGAAAGCCTTGTTGCAGTTGCTTTGACACATCATGCAAATGTAAGTATATTACTATTAGGAAAGGCATTTAAGTTACTAGTCATTTTTGAAAAAGACATGTTTTGAATGCAACAAAGGTATGTGGTTCACATAATGTACCTTATTATGATAATAAAGTGGAAAGCGCTATGGAAAGTCTGAGATCACTGGTGTAAATATCTATTGAAATTAATAAATGATACAGTTAGCACTGAAATAAATTTTTAGGTTTTTTACAGCCTAACATGCAGATATTTACCGTTTCCCGCATTTTCCCATAGGAATTTTCTGACCCATTTTTTGAACTGTAGGATAGTAGCATTATCGGGGACTTCAAGTCCAACAGTATAAAGTTTCTTATACTGCACACTTTTAGGTAAATCCTAGCAACACAAAAAAAAAAAAAAAAGGAAAAATTATTGAAGTCCTGCATCAATGAAAAGCCTTAATCAGTATCTAACATAATGCTAATGTAAAACAGTAGTTCAAATCCTGAGTAGAAACTGAAAACAATCTTGACACAATCCTACAGAGATACACTGTCAGAAACGACTGTTTACATTTCCACTATAAAGACCTGACTTCAAAGAACAGTTTCTACAGAGTACTTATTAATCCCTGCTAACAAGGCAGCATATTAACTGAAGAGAGCAGATTCCTGCAATTCCATTCAAACCCATTTTACAATTATTAGCAATATTTGTCCCTCCTACCCACAATCACATATATACTCACATATACACTCCCTTAATGCTTACAGCCCATGTATACTCAAAGATTAGCATTCAGTTATAACACTGATACTTATTCTCCTTTTCAATAGGAGGCTGATTAATCGCAGTTGTTTGGACCACACTGGTGAAAAATTTGAAATCGGTAAAGTAGTTTAAAACTGTACATTTAGTGGATTCCACTGAAGATCAGTAAAAAAAGACACTAGGAATAAATAAAAATGCCTTCAGGACACAGACTGTAAGTCTTCTCCATCTTTTCTGTGGTGCCTGGCACCGAAGTCTTTATCCATTACTCTGAGTTACCATATAACAAATAAGCCACAAACGCAACTAGCTGGGAGAAGGAGTTACTTCCTCTGTGATAAAACATTTAGCTCCTATTGGAGATATAAAATAAGTCTAGATGGGTCAGTTGTCAATTCCAATTCAAGGTAACCAAAAGTGTAAGTACTTTAAAACAAAGTTTGCAGCAACTATTTCGTTATGTTACTATGCTTGTATTACCTTAACTTCATAATATCGTGTGGTATATGTTAAATCAATAATTAATCCAAGCTCCACATTTAGGGTTTTCATTGCAGCAATTAAGTCTTTTGGTGTAAATTTCTGGGTTGGGGTAAGCCTCTGGTTAATTGCCTACAATGAAAATGGAAAAGAAAGATTTTCTTTTTAAGTTACAATAACAAGACATTTGTAATATTCAGCTGGTTTAATTAGGACTAGGAAACATCAGTAATCAAAAGGGAATGTTTACAGTACCAGAATTATATCTATGTATTATATGGATAAAAGGAACCAAATAAAAAGAAAGCAGTAATTTTTTGTGTATTCCTATTCAGATGAACATACAAGAAAATGTGTGAGAATTTCCACTTGTACAACGTTAACGAACATTAATAAGCACTAATTTGATAGCCATAAAAATCCTGCAAAATGCAGCATGTATATACTGATTTTTAAGTAATCAAATATCAGCAAAAAGCAAAACACCATGATCCACTTTCCCCCAAACATACTTTGTCCTGCACAGCAACACAAAATTAACAGTGTATTTCACATAAAACATTAGAAGTTGTGACAGTAAATTTATTTTAGAGGTTTTAACTTTCTCCCCACAAATGTTGTGCAGGTATTTTTATCCCTGTTTCATCTCTTGGTGGAGTGTACTTGCAAGTCATTTAGCACTAGGAAATATTAAATAAGACTAAAATATGGTGACTAAGAAAACTGCATGTTGGCTGGTAATGAATCATTAATTTGACAGAAACAGTGGGAAAAATGTTTACTCACCCTATTGTAGCTGTGTTTTTTGAAATGTGTTCTTCACTCTAGGTATGAAAATGCCTCATATGCAAGACCGGCTTTTCTCTGAATAGTGCGCTTGTCCATTGTGACAGCCTTTTGACACAGGCTCAGCCACAACCAATAAAGACAGTGGCAAAAGATGCAGCAGCCTCAACCACCTCTCAGTTCCTTTGTCAACAAGAAATTCAAGCAGACTGGACTCAGAACTAATGGAAAGGAAGGCAGCCACAGACCACATACCTCTTAGAACCACAGATGCTACAGGGTAACTAACCATTCCTTCTTTTGACTGTACAGATTATAGTCTAAGATCCTAGCAAGCACTTATCTCAAGTCTGGAAACAGAGACAGGAAACCAAATTAAAGAATAAAAAGCAGGACAGTCCTATCAAAGCTGGTATGTGATTAGAAAGCTTGAGCTAAAAAGAGTAGGGTAGAAAGCATATAGAATTTTTCAGTCCTATCTATTTCAGATACTGGTGCATTGCTGAAAAAAGAGTGGAGGTTGAGCTTCAAACAAAACGAACATGAGTCAATTATCTCACTGCTATTCAGCAGCAACTTTTACTAAAATCAGAAACTGAATTTACTAACTTTGAGGTGACAACGGTGAATCTGCAGATCTATGGTAGAACACTAAAGAATTTTTACTTTTACTATGTGAAGTCACAGAAACTTATCTGGAATACAATTTACAAAAATAAGGCATCTATAAACATATTGCTTGATTAAGTGAACATTTAAATGTGTTATGATAGACCATGTTTTGAAAGACTATTTGCAGCTTTCTGAAAAGCTGCTGTTGAGTATTCAGTAGTTTAGGTGTTTAATTGGGCTTTGAGAATGTGAAAAAACTGTATCAATTCTAAAATCCTTCTAATGGCATGGGAAAAAACATGCCCAGTCCGTACTGTACTACAACACTACTGTTATCATTACAATGATGATCTGAAAGAAAGGGCAGAAAATCCTTCCAAGTAAACCCATGATCTTAAAGCCTTTACTAGCAGCACATCTTCTGCTAAAACAATAACCCTTGAGTCTTAAAATACTGAAAATATGTTTTCGCCCTTTGGGCAAAATCACTAATCATCGATTTCCTAATAGGTAGCAAAGAAGGAAACCACTTCATATTTAAGAGGTCTGTTCCACCAATTTAATAATAGCACTTCTGACAGACTATGACCAATCAAGTCTTCAGCATTTACGGACAGATTTACTGACCTCTACTACATGTAGAGACATCACAGTTTAGCCAGTTATGCATTTTATGTGTATTCTGCCACAAACTCCATGAGCTTCAAGCACCATCTCTGGCAGACTTGTCATTTCTGTATCTTGCATAGCTGAGGCTGAACAAATTGAAGGGACAGAAATGTCACAGTTTCTGCTTTCTTGGGTACCAGACTTTATATCTGGCCAAGTTCAAAGCCAGCTTCACAGAACAGGGATCTATGCCCCAGTGAGCAACACAATGATGTAGAATATCTACTTGTGATATACTGCTATAAACATTCTCTGAGAATGTCTGTCCTTTTTTTGATGTCTGGTGGAGCTCCTTCCAGACTATCACATAAACTACAGAGAAAGAGTAAAGTTAGCAACGAAGTATCTTCCTCTGAAATCTGAAGTGACAGGGAACTGGAAAAATACTCACTGAACAAATCCTGCCTAGAATAGTGCATCTATGCAAAAAACTAGTGCTGGATCACATGGAATTACAGGAGCTGATGATGCAAAAAATCCTCTCACAAATACCCCAGTTTCAAAGAAAGTAAATATATATCTACTATATTTTACATTCACTGCTAGATCTGTTCACTGGCAGTCTTGGTAGAAAGATACACGACTGTTGTACAATCCATCAGTATAATTGAGAACATGACCAATATCAAGTATGAGATCTGTGGTTTCAAACGAACTAAACCACCATACCAAGGCTGTAAAACCAGCTGCAGGAAGCAAACCCTACAAGCATTCCACTTCAGTCATTGATGATAAAAGTGAACTGAATGGTGACTGAAAACATAATGGGCAATAATATACCAGAAGAACCAAAGTTTTTGTATATGAATACTAGAGTGCAACCTGTAGACAAGAGTTTAGATACAATATTTACTCTTAACTGCTAAGGTTATGTCTAGCCACTGAACTTTAAAAGAGCTTAGAAACTTGTATTTTCTGTGTATCTGAAGCAAGGACTTGTAAAGTTAATTTATACAGCATTTGTGTTAATTTATACAGAAGGGCAGATTTGCCCTATTTGCCCTATGCCTCAACCCACCAAAAAGCTGAAGTCTAAAAAAGACAGCCTCCACATTTTGTATTGTCATGAAGAATTAAAAGATCTGACTCAGTGTATTTAACAGATTAAGATTGCACTCCATGTCAGTAAGAATCTAAAGGAAATACCAACATATTAATAAAAGAAATCTATGAAGACTTCCTTTTTAAATATACTGCATTCCTCCAGATCATTGAAGATTCTTGCTTATGAAATTGGTAACCTGAATCTATAATTTTAAAAGTACTACAGCGGCTGGTATTCTTTAATGACTGCTTAATTTCCATTAAAATTATATTGTGTCTTACATTGCCTATCCTTTCCATATGATTTTCTTACAACAGTCATGAAAAGATGTTAAATAAGGTAACGAATTTAGGCTACTTAATAGTGATCAACTGAATTGCGCTGATTGATTAGAGATTTTATGATTTTTAAAAGATAAATAAAAAACAGCAACAACAAATACAAATTTTAAAAGAATGAGAAAAAATATAGAGTACTATGTGAAAAAGTCATTAGTAGATGACTGGAAGGGCTAAATCTGAATAAATTATTTTTTCAGAAAACTTTCTTGAAGTTTGCATGAATATTCACACTATTCTTCATTACTTTTGCACTGTATCTAATACCGCCAACATGTAGTTACTTTTTATACATACCCCTTTTAAAGGTACTTTGAATGCAATAAATCTAGTTCCTGGTATAGGCTGTCCAACTGGTGTCAAACTCCGCCATCTGTAATGAAACAAATATTTATTTTTAAACATTTTCAAATGACATGATTCATCAGAAGAGACCCACAGCTTCATGTAAAACTTAAAAACAATAAAATACATTGTTTTTTTTTTTTTTTCTCTTAAGATTAAAACTTTGGTAAAGCAAAGCACATAAAATTTATGGTTTTTTTTAAAATTATAATAACGGTTATTTCAAACTATGTAAAGTGTCTTACAAATATCAGGCAAATCTCATGCCATATTTCACATAATTTGAATTTAACAGTTATTTCAAACTTCTCCAAGCAGAAGACAGTTATCTTTTTTTCAATGATGGGCCATGCAGCTATTAGCATAATATATTAAGATTTAAATTTCCAAACAACAGCATTCAATGGTTCCTAAAATTCCCTGACCATGTAAGCAAGCAACTGCAACTTATGTGAACAAGTTTGAAAAATGACCAATTAAATCTGATATGTAAGTAAAATTGTTTTAAAAATCCATCTTCAATTAGTAACCTGTCTGTTTCACCAAGAAACTAAGATATTTTTAGAATAACTATAAAAATTTTTTATTATATATTTGAATAAAACTAATAGGTCAGCATTATTTTGGGATAAAAGAGACAAGGAATTGCCTTAAGCATGCTGGAAGAATATCAACAGAATACTGCTACAGCACTGATCAGGGCAGAAGCTTATTTAGCACACTGAACAGCTTAAATAAAGACATTTTTATTGTTTGCAAGTCTGAAGTCAGGAGCCATAATAAAATGAATCTTTATTCTCTGTAGAGCACCACCACAAAGAAAATACTTCTTAGAGATAATGCTCATGATTGTTGTTACCATACAGTAGAATTATGTCCCCAAATATGCAATTGTTCTATGAAGTGATTTCAAGGTATCATCAGGACATTTGAAAACAGACTTTTTCCTTCCTTCTTCAACTTTCAAAAATTCCTCCCCTCAAAATGGTAGGACAGCATTTACAAACAAGTAGCACCAATATAAAGCAAAGCAGATCAGTAAGGTTCAACATGTACAAAAGTACTGTCATATTATAGTTGGTGGAAATTTTTCAACTTGGCTGAATCAAACACCTTTAAAAAGTAATCATATGCTTGCATCAATCATTTAATTGACAATGAATTACAAAGTTTACTTTAATTAAAAATACAAAGCTTCTAGATTTTGGAAATGTGTTTACATTATAATATGCTTCTTTTTCAGACAAACACTCTTGACTGCGCTTTCTTTTGGTACTTTGAAAAATATAGAGAATATTCCATCACACCAAAGCTTAGCAAAAATCACTTACTAATATGAAGATTTCTTACAACGCTCAAAATACTAGTAATTCCAAAATCGCAAAGACCTGAAATCTATGAAATGTCACACATCTTTAAACTCTTGATGTATGACATTTCAGCGATTTCAGTTTTGTTAAAAAGTATGAAAAGCTTTATCCGAAGAGGAAAGCAAGTTAATCAGCAGATCAATTTTATCTTCAAAGAGGTAACTTAGTAAATTTAGGACTTTTATTTCTTCTCATGTGAGGACAAATTATCTCTATGACCTCAGAAGATACAGCTGGATGACTTAAAATCTACATTGCCTTTTTGCATTTTCACATAGTACCTCAACTACTAAAATGCAAAACATTTTCATAAGATTCTCTAACACTGGTGCCAACTCACAGTTTTCTGAATTAATGTTTAAATTAATCTCTCCCTTTAAAGAGAGCATCCAACAGCTTCTAGATTCCTTTCTGATTTCCATAAAACCACATCATTTATGAAATAAACTGAATAGTCTATTTTAAAATACTCTAACCACTTGATATTTTGCTTTGTTCACAATTCCCATATGATACAATAACAAAAACTAGATGTTGGCTGGCAAAACTCTCAATGAAATATCCATAATTATACTTGTCATAGCATATAAATAATAATAGTACCATTCATAGATGCTTGGAAGTAACAACAGAAACACTTATAGCATGGTGACCAGAAGCATAACTGATATGAAGAAATCATGTAACAATCTACTACATCTTCAGCAATTACTCATCTTTTTCGTCTTCATCATGAGCTAAAGAACAGATTGAGGCTCACAATATAGACATATAGATGCTGAGTTTGATGGAAAACAAATGAAATAACAAAGGAGTAATAGTAGCTCATCATTAGGAAGACTGTTGCAGACAGCTGCCACATAGAAGACAGATACAAGGTGAGAAGGTATAAAGGCAAACTAGAGATTAAATCACTGAAAGGTGTTTGCAGTAAAACCTTCTCCTGAATTTTAAATTATTACAGGAACTTTGTACCTCATAACTGCAATGAGGGAACAAAACCAATCTCCTTACCTTTGGATAGCTGCACACAGGGGGAAAAAAAAAAAAAAAAAAGAGCACATTCTCAATCACTGCAGTTTGAAAAGCATTGTTCAAAAAATTATATATCATATATTACACAAGAGAAACGTTCTAACTTGACAAGTCTCCCAGAGTGAATTTTCAAGTAGGTAAACTTTGGAGTCTGGTAGTTGTACACTAGTTGTAAAATATGAAAACAAAAATCTGAGACTATGTTCCATTTATTCTAGTTTAAAATAGATAAATTGTATATGAATCAGTTAAGATCACAAAGAGTGTAATTGGTCTGAAGATATTGCTGAAGCTAACAAAAACCACAACATAGTAAAATCTTTGCGGCAAGAAGTGCCTAGTTAAAAAAACAAACAAACAAAATCTACAGAAAACCTGTAAATCCACCCAGTCTTTTATCTCATTCACTTAATCTCAAAAAGGTACTAAATGCTGTGAACCTTATTTAGATGTATATTTAATCTGAACTACTGTTAAAACTAATGACAAAGTCAGGTTTAATAACAGCTCCTGCCTCTTTCTAATTTTAATAACTCTGGAAATCACATGTCTTTATTTAAAACAAGGAAATACTCCTCTTGCTTTTGCTCTTAAACTTCCAAATAGAATTAGAAAATAGACTGTACCTAGAGATATAGAAACTACTGCAGCAAATGCTGTCATAGAGATAAAACAAACAGGAACATAGTATTTTTTTTTCAACCTAGTTCAATTACTCTTTGGTGTTACCTCTACCAATAAAATGTACAAAATGCTTTACAGAAGTAGGATTTAATCTGACAGCCAGGCATATTCACATATATATGTTTAGAAACATTCTGAAGGAAGGCAGAAGTAAAAAATGCCAACTACAAAAGACAAAATACTTTAGGTAGTGAGACAATTTAAAAGCTGCCATAAATTAGAAATTCAGATCATTTAAAGCTGCTTTCTCTAGGAAAACTGAGTGGAAATCTAACATGATTATCACAAATACAAGAAATTAGGAACCAATAAGAAATGATCAAAAAAGGTTTAAAAATCTTCTTTTCTTTAATTAGCAATGTAAAAATGCTTTGTAAAAGTTCTGAACATTTTTTCCCAGATTAAGCGATTGACAGAACAATGCACCAGGATCACACAGTTTGTTGTCAGACCTTAATAAACTTAGGGTTTTATTCTCCTGTATTTAAAGCCATTTAAATCCTCCCAGAAAAAAAATCTGCAAAATCAGCAAGAAACTCAAAAGCTGCTGACAGCTCTATGGCAGAAAATGAGCAGAAAGCACTCTTCATCAAAAAAAAAAATAAAGAGCACATTCCGTATTATCTTTAAAATTCTATTTTAAAAGGAAATTTCAGCATATTGCTGCAGAACTAAAAATTATCTCAAATTAAAACCAGCAGATTGAAATTAAGCAAAGATTGGCTAAGGAGATAAATTCAAATTTGTTCTGTTGTCAACAAAGAAATATGGTTAGGAACTACAGGTGACAGGGACTAAAGAAAGTAAAACCTTTACAGAAGGCAGATAAGGCAGAAATGACCACAGACAAGTAAGCTGCACATGGTCACATAAACAGGGAGTTAGAGGAGCAAAGACATAAATAAGCATGAATGAGAACTGTGACACATGATTTGTGTCCTGCTTGAATGTAAGGAAGAGAGCCAGGAGTCAAAGGTGTTATCACAAGACTTGGCACCATCATTCTTGTACCAATGACTAAAAGGTAATAGAGGCTTGAGTGAAAAACAAGCTGGACATGAAGTAGCTGAAATGACGGCAGGAAGAATTTCCTGAAAGAGGCAGTGGTATCTTACAGGGACACAGACATTAAACTTATTTCTATGCTTAGAAATAAATATACGCATTTGCATCACAGAGGTAATAGCTCTGGCCATAAAACCGATGGCATTCACATTAGAAATGTGTTGTGATAAGAATCTAAAATGGAATCATGTAAATTCAGAGAAACACTGCGGCTTCTCAACAGAAGTAACAGTCATAAGGCATATCCAGGAAGAAACTGAAGTCTGACAACTTCTGTACAAAACACAATGGTTGTCAAATTGCAGACAATCTCCGTCAACATACATGAAAGCAAATTATCATCTTAAAATCTGTGATATTTCTGGTTCTTTCACAAAATAAACCTCCTTCAGAATCTCAAAAAGTGTGTAAAAAGACCTGCAAATCCAATTCTTAAGTTTGCATCAAAATAGCTATGACAGGCTTTTATGGGCCCAATATGGTAATTAAAATTTTTCTGAACTCTAAACTACCCAAAGCCACAAACACCCCAGAATTTGCATATTCAAATAGAAAAGTAATTAAGAGAACAGTACTTAAAATAAAAAGTGACATATTGCGCACACATGATAATTTTTCAATTACAGCTTTATTTTTCTAAGTTTTCAAACAGGTAAACAAGCCATGGACTACATGCAGATCAAGACCTGAAACTCAACAAAACATATAAATTAACCAAATATTTAACTATTTACCTTTCTCAGTTCCCACTTCCCTATTATGTTTTGTTTTCATCACTCTCCAACTAGCATCAATTATCTTAAAACACAGGCAGAATTTTGCCTGCCCACTGTTCTAAATGAAAGAATCACTTATTGGTTGAGAAAAAGT